CTGTGACGTTTCATGTCTTGTTATCATGAATTCATCTCTGATAACTTTCCCGCCTATGTGTTGTGGCATTTGTTTTTGTATTCAAAGTAGCATGCCTTATCCTTGTGATGTCATTTGAGAGAAATGTTGGTATGATTTGCATAAACTGAGTGATATATTTCAGTTTATTCTATTCCACACGAGAGGTGACAATAAGTAATTATATATTATACTCCATGACATATTGGGATAATGACATTGATCTATTGACTCCCTGACAGTTATAAGAGAATATATCTTTACTTATTTTCCTAATCCTTACATATCCAAGTCAATTTTTTTGATTGGATCCAATATTTTGTCATTTCCATTTCACAGCTGATTATCGACTTATTTGATTGTACTGTATTGTAAAACACAGATCTAAAAACTACTAGGCATATGCTTGTCATGTAATTTACATCACTACAAGTACGGTATGTGTGTTTTTTTAATATAGAAAGAAGAATTATCCACATCTGGTGTTACTGATATGATATCTGGTATTAAACTTCCCAAAACAGTACAAAGTATGAATGCTTATCTTGGGTAGGTTTATTTTTAGATGAATTTTAAGGTGATTTCATCTAATTTTCTTTATAAATAACTTTTCATTCGATGATTAATTTAGTATTGATCAATAAATTGTCAATCTTTGAAGTTAAGAATTTACTGCCATTGATAGTGAACCATACTTTCTTGTGTTGTCATTGGATGCAGAAGTGCAATATACTCTAGCACATGATGGTAATAGAAACCCATATGCATTTGGGCTATTATCTCCCATTAAATTATTATAACAAGCAGGTCAATATGATCACATACGGTACTGCCTTTGTTGCATACTTTGCTGTATTCTCGTAATAATCTCATACAATCTCACACATTGCTGTGCATTCAGTACAATAATTTATCAATTTATATTCTAGTGCAGGTGCAATTACGAAAGCATTAAACCAAGGTGCTGATATAGTTGTTACTGGTAGGTGTGTGGACAGTGCTGTTGTTTTAGGACCACTGCAACATACTGTAAGTTGAATTAAGGTAGAGATGCAGTTTATTTGGCTTGCTTTTTAATTGAGTAATTAGACAATGAAGATGGTATTATATATCCAGCATGTTATATATTTTCTGAAAGCTTATTATACAAACTTTGTAAAACTTGTCTTTATTCTAAATATCCAGAATGCGTTTTTGATTTTGGGTCAAAAATATGCTTTTTTGGACAAAAGTGGTTTAAAAAAAAAATAGCTCAAAAACTTCAAGTCCGTTTGTGGGTAAAATTACATCACTGGATACCTTGGTATACTACTAATTCAAATGCGTCCACTCATCTCTTTAACGGCTTTCAAAGTCGCACAGCATGACCTCAAAGTTCACTCTTTTCTATTTTTGCATAATTTATATATCCATGTTAACTGCGGACTTGTTATTTTTGTTCCACTCGTCGTAATAAAACTGTCCGGACGCATTTTGAAGGGGGAACACCTTTTCAATAAAGTGTGAAAATTTCGAGGCAAATGGCCAAAGCGTCTATCAGCTATTTTAATTTAAAACCCAAGAATTCACCAAAAATAGAAGACGAGAAAAAGGCTAATTTGCATATTTGCGCGTTAAACCGGGAATTACTGCTTTGTCATACTTTGTCATACTTTCTAGACTATTGAAATTGAAAGTTAACGTATAGACATAGACATTTTATGTAAAATTGTTGGACCAGAACAACTGCTCTTGAATATATAAATCAGAAACACGTCATTCATACCAGTGTTTTGATGGGGTCGGTAAAAACATGTGTCAATGCCCAGTAAACATGACGTCATCTCATGAATAATTAAACAGGGGGCGGTCCTAGGAAGGTGACTTTTTATCACGATCAAAACAGCATGGCTTCTCTTCGATGTATTTTCAATAAAAAAATCTACGAGTATTTCAGAGCCTATGGTTTACCGTGAAGAGTACAAAGTGGGATATTAAATTAATTATCCTTGATGATTTTTATGTAATATTTAGAACCAACTCCAGGAAGCGAACGCACAATAATGAATAATCGCGTAATCCTCAAATCGAAACGCGAGGCACAGAAGTTTTGTTCAGCGTTTCCAATCCCATTTTCCCACTGCAACATATTTGTTAAAAGAAATATTTGAATTCTGTTCGTTTTTTAAGGAAGCAATTTTTTTATTTTTTTCGATTTTGGTAACGCCTTATTCAGAAATTTTCTAAGACAAATCAGCGCACGGATGTACGTACTAGTACAAAACATGCTGTTGTACTACCGGCGACGGTCGCTGCAAGGAGAGAGCTCCAGCTCCTAACGTAAAATTTTTAAAATTTCGACCGGTTTTAAATAATTTGTGTTGGAAATCTGACATGACATGAGTGCAAAATTAAGGTGCATTTTCGAGCTGTCGAATTTTTCTGAATAGAAATCAGCAAATGAAAAAATAGGAGTGCTAAACAGTGTGCTCGTTAGTTTAAAAAAAAAATGGAATGTCCGTCAAATTGACGTAAACTTCCCCATTTTTCACCGAAAAAGCAAAGGTCGTGGTTGAGTTGCAGGCTAAAGAACTCAAAAATCAAAACAAAATCATCAATCAGTAAGTATTATGACAAGGAAAACAAAACATCAGACGCGGAGAAGTGGTCAGCGCGTCAAAAGAGTTGTTAATGTATCAAGTTACCTCTCTCTGTGATTTATTTTTCATTGAAATTATTTGGTTGTTTTCAATTAATTTTAGCGTACCTCTGCAATTTATTTTAGCATTGTCAGTTGTTTGTTTCATTGAATTAAACTGAGTTCGTCCGGTTGCAAACAAAGCTGTCTCGCACCACC